CTTGAATTATTGGAAGTTCTTCAAGGGCCGTTGGGGTTTGATTTTGAATGAGGATTTGACGAAGAACGAAGAGAGCTTTCTTGATCCTTCGAGATTTGCTTGGGAGCTTTAGAGTTTCAAAGCTTCAAGGTTGTGGTGTGAGGTGAATTGGTTATGAATTGGTGTCCCAAAAATGAATGTCTTGGCCTCCTATTTATAGAATTCCAAAACTTGATTTTTTGGATTTAAATAATCAGATGAAATAAATCATTTCTGCCAGGTGTTGACACATGTCCTGTTTGATGATTTTTTCAATTTATTTTGATTTTTCGTTTAGTCACATGCTATGTGTAAAATTTATATGACACGTGAACGTTGAAATTTTAATTATTGATCAACATTTATTTCACCAAAATTTTGATGTCTACAAATGCCCCCACTTCAAGGCGTGTCGTGTACATGTGCTTGTCACGTGTAGAAGATACGTTTTGAAGTCCTTTACTGCAGATGTTGATCCAAGAGCCGTTGAGGCTTGATCTTGAACTGGCTGATAATTTCTTCAAGGGCTGTCAGGGCTTGATCTTGAATTTGGCTGGAAGATTTTCTTGTTTCCTCCAATTGTTGGTTTTCCACAAGCTTAATCTTGAACTGGGCTGGAGGGTTTTCTGGTTTCCTCCAAAGGACTTTGACTTAATCTTGAACTGGGCTTGAGGGGTTTTCTGGTTTCCTCCAAAGGATTTTCCACAGACTTAATCTTGAACTGGATTTGATTCAAGGGTGGTGGACACTTGATCTTGAATCGGACTTGTGATTTCTTTAAGGGCCGTTGAGGCTTGATCTCGAACTTAAACATGACCACGAGCAGTTTCAGGACATGCATGCTTTGAAAAATCAAGGAAGTTCGCAGCATTTTCATATAAACCCTGAGCAGTTTGGTCAACGGTATGATCTTCAAGGTTGATGGGCTCTTCTTCCAATTGGTGACTTGATCTTTAGGGATTATCGAGACTTTGCTCTTCGGCGATAATGCCAGCGAAAGGTTGTTGAAGCTTCTCGAGCTTTTTTATTATAGCAACGATGGCGGGCTTGGATTTAACTTAGATTCCTCCGTCTGGATTATGCAGTTCTGCCGAGAAGGGTGTCCTGCCATAATGATTTGTTCCAGCTCATCGTGCTGCATTCTTCTCTGCTTGTTTCTTTCGCCTAACCGAAGTGGTGTGCAACCCTCTGCCTTTAAATGGTCATTCAGAGCATCACTTTTCAGACACTCATCCATGCTTGGCAGCTTCAGTGTAAAGAGCCAGCACCATATCAACTGTCTTGAAGTATTTGATGAGGTAATTCGATACCCGTCAACAGTTGAAAATGAACACTCGAGAGCAACGCTAGGTAAGTAACCAAGCAAAGGTTCCGGGCAATCAGTTCCCGATCGGAGGTTTGATTTCGGGTTCAGACTGATTGCTTTCCTTCTCCTTGTTCTGCAGGCAAGAGCAAGGGCAAGGGAAATGATGGGGGGAAAGCATGATATGAGATACCTTTGCTTTCGACCCTGATGATATGAGATACTTTTGCTTTTGAGGAAGTAGCGGATGAATTGGCACGTGCTTTGTTGTGCTTGTCTCCACATGCTTCAATGTATCATTTTCACTTCCCTTATCTGTTCCCCAGGAAGATATGGTAGACGAAGAGGAAGCATAAGATGTTGAAGATGAGTATTCGAGAGCACGGCTAGGTAAGCAATCAGGAAAGGGTTTCAAGCAGTCGGTTCTTTACCAGGAGCTTGAGTGGAGGTTCCGACATATTACTTTCTTTATCCTTGTCTTCGCAGTGAAGATGGAGGACAAAGAAAAGGATAGGGAGAAAACATGCTATGAGATACTCTTGCTCTCAACCCCAGTGATATGAGATACCTTTGCTCTGGTGTGACTTGGTTGAAGAGGTATTTCCAGGGAGGAAGAAAACTGAGTATGTTAAGAGGTTTTAGTTGGAGATGTATTCTTGGCAAAGAAGAAGAGTCAGGCGTTTCTATTTTCAGGGAGGAAGAAAACTGAGTTTTGGTTACAGATGCATTCGGCAAGGAAGAAGGGTCAGGCGTTTTTTGGATGTGTGCCTTGCTATAGAGTATGGAGGTCGAATTATATGGTGAACTCCCAATAGCAAGTGGCAGGGTGGATGTGGCTTTGTCACCCATGCTTGTCGGCCAAAATTTGGGTAGGTGGGAATAATAGACTTCACACGTTTTCAACTTTATCAGTGATCTCTGGCAAAGTTGCACGTGATAGCCGAAAGCTGAGATTGCGTCTGAAAAATGTTGACGAACTTTACGCCGGAAAATCCGGATTTTGAAATTTGAAGAGCAGTGTCTCTTCAAATTTTGAACGAGTGGTTGTGTTGCCTTTCCTTTTAAAGAGGTGTCAATCGTTTTCAACCTGCACACTTTGAAGATTGCCCACCCTTGAAAATTGTCTTTGCTGTATTTTCTGAGATTTTACTCTATCCAACCTTTTTCTTTCAACATTTTTTGTTTTGAAAATGACTAACCCGTCTAACATTTGCTTAGATTTGAGTCTCAGCAGTGACGCAGGTGCACCGCGTCAAGGTAATACATGGCACCCGTCCTTCTTATCTTTTAATGGCCCTTTTACAATTGAAGACTCTGTGATGAGGGATGCAGCAACGGCTACGATTGTAGCTAGGAACCTCATCACTCCTAGAGATAATAGGATACTTTCACGACGGTCCAATGAGTTAGCTGTTCAAGAGTCCCAGGCTCTTAGTGTCCAGTGTGCGAACTCTGTTTCCAACATGGGTCAACGCCTACTTGTTCGAACTCGCCAAGTTGAATCATTGACAGCCGAGGTGGCAGCTCTTAATCAAGTGATCAGACAGCTCAAGCACGATAATAGAGTTGCATGTGCTAGCAAATAGTTATTCGACGAGCATGAAGAGGAAGCTTGATCAGTTGCTGGATTCCGAATGTTGGATTCAAAGTGACAATCGGAGATTTATGGATGAATTCCAAAGGCACATTTTGCCTTCGTCATCTGGAGTTCGACCAAGTATTGAGGCTCCGAATAATCCATCTCCAGTGCCTCACTCTTCTAGGGTTCCACCGAGTACTAAGGCTTTAAGTACTGAGGCTTCACATAAGTGACATTTGTGAATGCTCCCTCTTTTTTTTTCTTTTTTTTTTTTTTTTTACGCACTTGTAATTTCTTAGAGATATCAATGGACATGCTTTATTTTATTCAGTATGTTGTGCTAAAACGTATATTTGACTAAGATGTGTTACTTCCTCTTTTTTTTTTGGATGGAAATTCGTCGTCCTCCCCGTACTTTCTTCCTTTCAATCATTCTGTCTCCACCACCTATTTCCTTTTTCATTCTTGACTTGCTAATAGTAGCATACACCATGACCTGTCTTTCTTACTTATTATCATTTCCTTTGGATGGTGCCTGTCAATCATTTCTTTTCTTTGCTTTCGGTGGCTGGCAAACCTTTTTTTATTTTTATCTTTCTTTCTTTTCCTCCTGGCATGCACCATTCCGCAACTTTTCATTTTTTTTTAGTTGGTGCCGTCCACCATCATTTTTTTTCTTTAAATATGGTGCTTTGCAGGGATGGAACTCGACAGAGCAGCAGCTAGCTTGGGTGGAGACAGACGGAGAGGCTAGAGTCGCTGGAGCTTGAGGCAGAATGTAAGGCGTCGAGCTTCATGATCGGCTAGTCGTTTGGCGGTAGTTATTGAAGTTCTTCGTCGTTGCTGTTTGCCACTGCCACTACACAACCATTGCACCGCCACTGCATTCTTGTTGCCTTGCACCGCCCGCCGCCATTGCACAGCCACTGAATTTTTTTTATTTTTTTATTTTTTTTGCCTTGCAGAGGAAAAAATGGGTGGGGAGCTGTAGGAGGCAAGAGATGGAGGAGATCTTTGGGTGTGTGTTGACAAACTTCAGTTTTGTCAATCATATTCAAAGATGGCAGAGTGTAATGCAAAGCAGCGAGCTTCACGATCGGCTAGTCATTTGACAACGGTTGTGAAGTTGGAGAAATAGGGTAGAGAGCATGGAGAGCACGGACGTGCGTTGAAGGCCGAAGAAGAAGGCGATGAGACAATGGAATCAGCTGCCATAGCGGCGGCGGTTTCTCCGGCAAGATCGGACCCAGGATTGCTGTGCTTATAAGGACCAGTCGCGCTTACAGCAGCAAGTCAAAGACCGATAGTTAGATTCGATTCAGACTCTCTGACTCAACTATCTGATTTTGCAGCTCCAACACTTGCATTTTCTCCATTTTAAGATTAGCCTCCCTCATTTGGAGCTTCTCTCTCACACTAGAAAGTTCAATTTTCAAGCTCAGTAATCTCCTGCTGTCATCTTAGGTTGTCCAAATCAACGTTCGAAGGTGGAACCAAGTAATTGCTGACGGGGGAGTTAAGAGATTCTGGCTCAGATCCCAATGATGTTGAGGAAGATGATTCGCTGCCATTCTTTAAAGAAAGAGCTGGACTAGAACCATCTGAGCTTGGTGATATATCTAACCTAACAACTTGATGGCCAGATTTGTGCAGACCATGTTTAGCATCTGGAGTCAGCAGAGGATAACGTTGGTCGAAACCATATTCAGAATCCCCAAACCCCTTATGTGCTTCTTTGGTCAAGTGTTCATAGCATCCAGCCAGCGACCGATACATTCTGTGAAATTCCTCAACCAATTCTGGCTTCTTCTGAGAAAACGCTTCGTCATTTTTTGGCAAAGAATCGCCATCTTCTTTGATCAGCTTCATCATTTGCTTAATCCTTTGGTCCATCTCTTTAAAATTTTCTACCAGCCACATAGAAGTAGAACGATCTGGGGTAGTACCATTGTCCAATTCAGTTGAATCTGACTCCTTCAGTTCTGTTCTCTCCATATCTTCTCCTGACTCTGACTGCACTTATCTTCTAGCAACTTTTCTATTCCCTTGACTTCCGTCTTGTTTCCGAAATCAGAGGCAAAGAGTTGCAGTTTTGGCAATTCATTTCCTTTCCCGCAAACATCCATTTTTCTGGATTTGGCCTGAACACTCCAGCGACAGCTTCCTACTACCCCTAATTACCTTCTTATTACTACTCACAGAAGACTCCTCTACTTCATGTTTTGACTCATGGATTGAAGCTTTTACCTCCAGCAGCACCGTGAGTGGATTTGCGCTGCTTGGAGGTTGAGATTGAGAGTCACAAACACTCCCAGAAGCGGAAGCCTGGGCATATTTCTGAGTCATAGATCGAGCTTTCTGGTCGAAAGCTTGCCTATTGTATTTGAATTCCCTACTCGCTTCACACATAAGGCCATCATTCGGATTGGGTTCACTCAATAACAACCCAATGCTTGTAAGCACAGTTGAAATATTCAATGATGGTTGCCATGCCTCATTCGGAGGAAGATTGAGAATGTCGAGGCAAATCCAGCCTCCAATGTCGATATTCGGGTGGTAAATTGGCGTCGTAAATGTCACACTCAGAGGCTGAAACGGGTACCTCGGGTATCTGAATCTTAATGTTGAAGAACCTTTCGGCGTACACGATTCCTTCTGGACCTTTGATCTGGGCATCGATGGTGGTGAGGGAGGAGATGCTGGCGTTAGGCAGAAGAAGAGAAGAAGAGCCTGGGTCGCAAAGAGATTGCTATGGTGACGAGGGACCTGCAGCAGGTGTCGTAGATGCATCGGCACCGAGGTTAATAAGGAAGAGAAGGTCTGAAGCACTGGAGATGAAGACGAGTGGAGTTTCGGACCAGGTGAGCAGATCAGTGGTGGATGTGTGGGGCTTCCTCACCGGAGTGCTTCTCTCTATTTCGGGTTGGATTCGCGGATAAAGTGGCGAGTTGAGGCTGCTGAACTCGTAGTGGCTTACCCCGGCTCCGGCGACGAATCGTAAGCAATTGGGATTCTCTTGGACCATCACATTAGCGTCGGCCCAAAAGAGGAGCTCCAGGACCCGGCTGAAGACATGGGGGAGACGGCGGAGCTTCTTATGGGTAAGATCCAAAAGTGCCTGTGCTTCAGAAAAAATGAGTTTCTTGATTTGTATTGATGGTGATGACAGAAGTCGGAAAAGAGAGATGGACAACTTGAGACGAGGAAGCTTTGGAAGAGGATTTGGACCAGCTTGGAGTCTATTGAGGATGAGCCACAGGAGTTGGGCCCAACGTTGATGGACTCGTTGATGGTGTGAACCATGCTGGGCCGAAGCAATTGCAGATTTTATATATATACATATATATATATATATATTGTACAAACTTTTTTTCTTTTTTTTGTACAAAGAAATTGTAATAGCATCAAACTTTTAATAAAATCTTTATTCCTTATTTTGGTGCGCTACCGTGTGGAGTTGTGCAAGAGCCTGCAACGAGACTTCGCTGCGTAATGCCTTTTGAACACGGCTTTCCTCGGTGACGTTGTTGTGCACATTGACCTTGCTGCCTGGAAAGACCGTCTTGTAGCTGCCATTCCTTTAAAGAAATAAAGTATTTTGCATTTGTTATTTACTCTTCAAAGTGTTTGTGTTTTTTGTTGATGATGCGACTGTACTTGAAGTTTTGAAGTTTCAAGTTGCCTACGTACCCTCGGTTGAGGAGGGATCAAGTCATGACGTAGTTCAAATGAGCGATGAATTTAACAATGATTTTGATGATGATTTTGCCGTACACAGTTTATGCTCTTGCGGGCCAGGAGCGTTGGTTGTCGCCTTTTAGGGGTAGAAGCGCTTCAAGAATCTTCCATTGATAGGGCCGATATTCAAGCCGTCTTCTGCCATGATTAAGTAGGCGCCGTTGGTGTAGACCTCTTATATTACGTATGGTCCATCCCACTTTGATGTGAACTTGCTTTTTGTCTTGTGAGTTGTGATGATAGGCCTACACAATGCGAGGGCGAGATCTCCAATTTGGAAAGACCTTAGGCGGACCTTCTTGTTGAATGCCTTGGATAGTCGTGCTTGGTAGCATTCCAAGTGTTGTTGAGCTTCGAGCCTTCTTTCGTCGAGTGTTTCCAACTCTTGAAAGAGCAACTTTGCATTCTCTTCATCAGTCAAGCCTTTTTGTATAGCCATTCTCAGTGAAGGGATTTAACTTTCGAGCAGTAGAACAGCTTCCACGCTATATACAAGGGAATAAGGCGTAGCTTGGGTAGAAGTCCTATGTGTCGTCCGATATGCCCAAAGTGCTTCACTTATTCTTTCATGCCAGTCTCTCTTTGTTCGGCCGATCACCTTCTTTAGGAGATTGCACAATGTTTTGTTGAATGCTTCTGCAAGATCGTTGGCTGGGGCATGATACATGGAAGACTTGTGCTGCTTGAACTTGTATTTCTCACAGAGCTCATCCACGAGTCGGTTGGAGAATTGCTTTCTGTTGTCAGTGATGATGTAGCGAGGCATCCCATATCGGTGGATGATGTGCTCCTTGATGAAACGGACGACAGTTTCCTTCTTTACTTCCCTTAGGGGTATGGCTTCAGCCCACTTGGAGAAGTAATATGTTGTAGCTAGGATGTAAGCTTCTCCTGCAAATGACTTTGGAGTAATTGGTCCTACGACGTCCAATCCCCATGCATCGAATGGCTATGAAGCAGCTGTAGGGTGTAATGGTTCAGGTGGTTGATGTATGAAGTTGGCGTGGAATTGGCAAGCTTGGCACCTTTTGGCATGTTCCAGGCAGTCCTTCACCATGCTTGGCCAGTAGTAACACATTCTTTTGAGCTAGAAATGTAGCTTTGGTCCAGATTGATGTGCCCCGCACACGCCTGAGTGTGCTTCTTCCATGGCTTGGTTGGCTTATTCCTCATCTAGATATCTCAAAAGTACTCATTCGAAAGAGCGTCGGTAGAGTGTTTCTTTGTAGTAGAGGAAGCGAGGTGCTCGTCGACGTATTTCAGAGCGGTGTCTAGAATCATCTGGAAGTTTTCCATGCTCTAAGTAGTCGATCAGCGGTTGTCTCCACTCTTCAACATCGACTGGAAGTACTGAGACGACATTTGTATCATCCAGCAGCATTTTGATGACAAGGGGGGTCACCCATCTTTGGCAGACTGGCACGTCTGCAGCTTCGTCTTCTCCTAGTGTCATGCTTGAGGCTAGGTTGGCAAGAGCGTCTGCCATTTGATTTTCTTTTCTTGGCACATGTTCTAGTGTCACAGTCTCAAACTCTTGTAGCAATTGAGTTGCCAGCCGGAAGTATGGGACGAGATCATCTTTCCTCACCTCATATTCGGTTAAGAGTTGATTGATTATGAGCTTGGAGTCGCCAAATACCTCAAGGGCTGTGATTCCCATGTTGATCGCCATTTGGAGTCCGATGATCAGTGCTTGGTACTCAGCGACGTTGTTGGAGCATAATTCGCTTAGTTGAAAGGAATAAGGTAATATCTGCCTTTGTGGCGACATGAATACTACTCCTGCCCCTGCTCCGTCTACCCGTGCAGATCCGTCGAAGAACATCGTCCATGTCAGGAAGATGTTAATGTAGAACACTTCCTCGTCAGGCAGGTCGTCTGAGATTTTCGAATCAGCTGGGATTAGGTGATCGGCAAGAAAGTCTACTAGTGCTTGTCCCTTGACAGCTTTAGCTGGGACGTAGATGATCTCATACTGGTTAAGAAGCAACGCCCATTTAGCGAGTCGCCCTGTCAAGACTGGTTTGGACATGACGTATTTGACCGGGTCAACTTTAGCAACCAAGTGGATGGTGTAAGAATGCATATAATGCCTGAGTTTCTGGATGGCGAACACCAAGGCAAGGCACATCTTTTCTATTAGGGAGTAGTTCAACTCGGTGCCGGTGAGAGTTCGGCTGAGGTAGTAAAGCGCTCATTCTTTCTGGGATTCATTCTTTTGCACCAAGAGTGCTCCCACTGAACTTTCCTGAGCGGCGATGTACAATATGAGTGGTTTCCCGGGCACAAGCGCCCCCAAGGCAGGTGGACTTGACAAATACTTTTTATGCTTTCAAAAGCATTGTGGCATGCTTCGTCCCATACAAACGGAACATCCTTCTTCATGAGTCGGCTGAACGGTTGACAACGCCCTGCAAGGTTGGAGATGAAGCGTCTGATGAAGGCTAGCCGTCCTTGTAGACTTTTCAGCTCGTGCAGGTTTCTTGGCTCAGGCATGCTTTGAATGGCCTTGATTTTTTATTGGTCCACTTCAATACCACGGTGCTTGACAATAAAGCCAACGAATTTTCCGGAGGAGACGCCAAACGCACATTTTAACGGGTTTATCTTGAGGTTGTATTTTCGCTGCCTTTCGAACACCATTTGCAAATCCTTCAAGTGGTCTAATCTTTTCTTTGACTTGACCACTACATCGTCTACGTAACATTTTACGTTTTTGTGTAGCATGTCGCTGAAGATTTTCTGCATTGCACGTTGATATGTAGCTCTAGCGTTCTTCAGACCAAAGGGCATCACCTTGTAGCAGTAGATACCTTTTGGAGTGCGGAAGGCTGTTAGTTCCTCGTCTTCGAGAGCCATGCGAATTTGATTATATCCTGAAGAGCCGTCCATGAATGACAGTGCCTCGTGGCCAGTGGTTGCATCCACCATGATTTCAATGATTGGCAAGGGGAAGTCGTCCTTCGGGCAAGCGTCGTTGAGGTCCCGGAAGTCTACGCAAACACGTATTTGTCCAGATTTCTTAAGGACGGTGACGATGTTGGAGATCCACTTGGGGTATTACACCTCTCGAATGAAGCCTGCTTCGATTAGCTTGTCAATCTCTACCTCGATTTGTGGAATGAGCTCGGATCGATAGCGCCTTTGAGTTTGCTTTATCGGTCGCGTTCCAGGCTTGACTGCAAAATGATGCACAACGATGACAGGGTCAAGGCCAGGCATTTCCTTGTAGGTCCAAGCAAAGACGTCTTTGTACTCTGATAACAGTTGGTAATACTTCTCTATCTCGTCCGTACTTAGCAGCGCACTTACGAAGATAGGTTTCTGCTCATCTTCTGTGCCTAAGTTGAGCTCATTGAGATCATTAACCGTGGCTAGCCTCCCGTCCTCAAGTTGTGGTGGCGCAACAGTGACATCTTCTTCGGGGACCTCGTCTTCTTTGCCTTCTTGGATCGTGATGTGGAAGACATCCTGGACTTCCTCTTCGGTGTCGTCTTTCCGGGTGTTGTAGTCATTGCACATTGATATGTAGCTCTAGTGTTCTTCAGACCAAAGGGCATCACCTTGTAGCAGTAGATACCTTTTGGAGTGCGGAAGGCTGTTAGTTCCTCGTCTTCGAGAGCCATGCGAATTTGATTATATCCTGAAGAGCCGTCCATGAATGATAGTGCCTCGTGGCCAGTGGTTGCATCCACCATGATTTCAATGATTGGCAAGGGGAAGTCGTCCTTCGGGCAAGCGTCGTTGAGGTCCCGGAAGTCTACGCAAACACGTATTTGTCCAGATTTCTTAAGGACGGTGACGATGTTGGAGATCCACTTGGGGTATTGCACCTCTCGAATGAAGCCTGCTTCGATTAGCTTGTCAATCTCTACCTCGATTTGTGGAATGAGCTCTGATCGATAGCGCCTTTGAGTTTGCTTTATCGGTCGCATTCC